GCACTGCGACAAACTGGCAGCCCATGGACAAATGACACTGTGTGGCCCAAAGACCTTATTTGCCCTGGCCCACTCACTTATCTTTTTTTAATATATATATATATATATATATATATATATATATATATATATATATTAATAGCAGGACATAAAATGCAAACATCCAGAATTCTGGCTTCTCTTGAAAAATTGGAAGAGTTAGAAACTGTCTATAAATCTTCACGTTGGCAAGTGTACAAGAGCTAAGAAGGGACAGCCCTCTTTGGATAGAATATGAACTCCCCATTTTACCAGTCTCTGCCACTCTCTATTGCCTTAGACCCTGTCTGCTGCACATTTCCATGAGTCACGTGATACGTCTCAACTGGCCCAGACAGTTTGTGTTGTCCAGCTCTGCTCAAGGCTTTTGACTTCAAGTTGTATGCTGATCTCAGGAGCGACAGCAAAAGAGAGGATAGGAGGAAAACAATGCACAATGCAAACGGGCATTAACTAATTGTTAACCATTGCCAAATGGTTAGACAAAACAGATCTCTAAATGGGAGCCATTGCCAATAAAGTGTGAGCCACAGTGCCTGTAAGTGCTCAGTAAATACTGGCTGGCATTATAATTAGTATTATTGTTTCACTGTATCTTATTGAACAGTACAAAGATAATTTCAGAAGATAAACAGGTGATTAGACAAGAAATTTTTGAAAAATTAGAATGAGAGGGATTTGTATTATAAGACACCTGGGGTATATAATGAAGCTATAGTAACTAAATATTGGCATACTGATAAAAGCATAGGCAGATCAATGGTACAGAAAAGAAAGTCCTGAGACATACTCAAGCATGATAGGTAAGAATTTAATACATGATCAGATTGACATTTCACAGCAGAAGGAAGAACAGGTTAATCATTAACTGGTTCTGGGATAACTGATTAAATCCCAAAACTAAAAAAGTAGGGCACCTGGCTGGCTCAGTTGGTAGAGCATGTGTGACTCTTGATATTGGGGTTGCAGCATCATGAGTTCAAAACCCACGTTGGACATGGAGCCTCCTTATCAAAAAAAAAAAAAAAAAAAAAAAAAAGAGTAAACTTCTAAAAAACTATAGAGAAGAGCACTAGAATAATTATTTGATCTTGAGGTGGGGAAAATCTTTCTAAGCATCAAAGTCAAGTGCAAAACCATAAAAAAAAGTTTGAAAGACCCGACAAGAGAAAAATAAAAACCAGTGCATATTAAAAAATGTAAAAGAAACCAACCCCGAACATCTAGAACTTATTCTATACTATATAGAACTATTCTATACTACAGAACAGTTGGCATTACAGAGGACTTGCTGTGTCAGGTGCATACTCAGAGTATGGGAGATACCATCTTTCTGTATCCTCATGGTAATGGGCACTACAGATACTATTATTACCACCATTTTACAATTGAGGTTTATCCACTGATAAAACAGTCTACAACTAAAGTCTGATAAGCCATTACCATGCTGCAGTGAAAAATTAGAAACTTTTTCTGAAAGCTAATAGTAAATATTTCAGTAAAAGTAACTGTTATGTTAGCATGGTGAGATCATGGGTGATGTTTTGTTTTGTCTTGGTTTTACAAGCTCCTCAGTGTTTTACATTACATTTATTTTTAGAGAAAATAGACATCTTTAGAACAACCTCTTGTTTTATCTTGGCCAGAGCTCTCTTATCTTAGAGTAAAACCCTGGGAGTTCTTTATAAAACAATAAAATGAGGGGAGCGGGGGAGAGCGATAACACTAAGTGAGGACCAAGAGCCAGGCACTGTAAGAGTTGATTTATCTGCATTATATTTCATCCTTACTTAAAGCCTATGAGGATAGGTGTATTTTTCTCCACTCACTGAAGAAAGAAGCCGAGACTCCAAGGTTTCACTGAGCTTGCCAAACAGTTACATTGTTAGGATTGAAACACACCTTTAATATCTGGGCTCTCTCCACTGAATATCCTCCTAATTATCCACTGTGCCTTCTCCAACAAGGCTATATAGTGTGGACTCAATCCTATGTGTATGGAACTTCATTTTCTGAAAGCAGTGATAAGTAGCAGAGACAAAAGGGATGGTGTGAACCGCCTGATATCTCAGTGCCAGCTCTGGCTTGATCTCTAGCAAAGCACTAATCTCCTAACTGCCAAATATACAGGGCAGCACTGAGAAGAATGCCCCTTCAAACACCAGCAGATCAGACTCTTAGACCCTGCTGGTTTTTCAAATTTCAGAAAAGTCCCTAGATCTCATCTATTCAGCACTGCCATGATTCCTATCATCTTGAATACTTCAAACAGATGGGTGCCCACCCAGCTCTGAAACATTCCACAGCAACAAGGGTTTAAAAAAAATTCCACTGGCAACCAATACCTATGCTTAACCTGTCATGGGAGGAAGTGTTCTAATGTCTTCAATATGTTGACCTCATTTAGAGTGAAATTCCTGTGAAAACAGGAGACATGAAGCACCCTGGGTAATCAGTCCTCATATCAGAGCATTTCATATTCCCAAACAGAACTAAGTATTAGTTCAGAATCACTCTCCCTAAACCTTCACTCATTTATTTATTCCTCTTTTAGTGCTTCTCTTGAATCTTCAGACATCAGACCTACCTAAAGAAGATTAAAAATGCACAAAAACCGGGATGCCTGGGTGGCTCAGTTGGTTAGGCATCTGACTTTGCCTCAGGTCATGATCTCGTGGTTCACGACTTCGAGGCCTGCACTGGGCTCTGGGCTGACAGCTCAGAACCTGGAGCTTGCTTCAGATTCTATCTCCCTCTCTCTCTCTGCCCCTCCCCTGCTCTCTCTCTCTCTCACACACACACATACACACACACACTCTCTCTCAAAAATATAAATAAATAAGTAAATAAATAAATAAATCACAAAAACCTGTGCAAGAAAGAACAACTTGAAGTTCGGATATGTTTCAGGACTGTAGGTACTAAATTGCTAACTAACGTTTAGCTTGGGATTAGCTGAAAACTTTGGAATTTTTCACCTGGTTACTGAACATCTTAACATCATGTGATGTGTTCTCTTCCTTCAACATAACTGCACACCTCTTTTTTGAGATGCTTTCTTCTGGCTTTATATCAACCAATTAGTCTTTTAAAATCTGAATATTTATTCACTGATTAACAATTCATTCAGAAAACATTTAAAGACCACCTATTGTGTACCAGGCACTGTGATAGTTTCTGGAGAGACAAAAATAGGATCTCTGCCTTTAAGGAGCTAAAGGTCTGAAGGTGGAGATAAAGAGGTAAACAGACAATTTCCATGTTGATGTTCTTAGTGTTTGTGCAGAGGTATGAACCAGCACTACGAAAGTTCAGCAGAGGGGATGGGGTACTGAGGGGAGACTTCGTGGAGGTAATGCTCAGGCAGAATCACTAAGGGTCAGTAGGAGTTATTCAAGTGTTGGAAGGAAGTCACTCCAGGCAGGTTTAGGAAATTGGGAGAGCAAAAGTTGCCTGTGGAAAGCTGGTAGAAACTGATAATAGAGAGCTGGGTTCAGCATCTCTCTCTGTGGATAAGCTATTTAGTGATGGGTACACAATGTAACGATGATTATTTTTATTCATCCATCAACTCTTTGATAAGGGTGACTTGGTCCCAAACCAAATTTTAAAGAACGTTAATTTTTCAGATATCTATGGCTGTTACTGATTATTTTAATAATGACTTTCCAAACACTTTCCATCCATACAGTATTATTATCTACAAGAACTTCTTTTACTAATGAAATGTCATGCCAGTTTTTTCATATTAACCATAGAGCTGCAATAAAGCAAACTCTAGGCAAGCTCAACACCATGGCCAACAGGACTACCATCTTTTGACTGTCCTTGAGTGAATGGAAAGTGCAATGCTACTCTTCAATCACTGAGGGGTAAATGGTAAGAAGTCCATTTGTATCCTTGCTCTATTAGATGAGGGCACTGGTACATCACAACTGATTTTTAAGGAATGGAGAGAAGTGGTTAAAAAAAAAAAAAAAGGAAGATGAAGGAAACATGGGTAGAGTGCTTCATAGAAAGTCCCAGGTGCCCAGACACAGAACGACAGAGGACCAACCTGCTCCCTAAGAAATGTTAACCCATAATACCAATTCCTTCACTTAACCTGAGAAATGATAGCTCTTCCTCTGATAATATCTCCTAGGCCAGGATCATAGTCCTCAAGCAGTTGGACTCCCAAAAAAGTACCAGGATAGGGAGGACACTAGCTTTGAACAATAGTAGACAGCAGCAAAAAATGAGTTTAAATGTCATAATGTCTTTCCACTAAACTAAAGCATTCAACAGCATTCATTCATTCATTCATTCATTCATTTTTTAAAAGTAGGCTCCATGCCCAATGTGGAACTTGAACTCACAATTCCGAGGCTGAGAGTCACACACTCTATTGACCGAGCCAGCCGGGCGCCTCTCAAACGACATTTAAAAGAATTAAAGAAACATGGCTAGAGTAGACAGATTCTTAGGGAAAATCAAAGATGAAAGGATGTAAATTAAGGTATAAGAGATAAATGTTCTTCCAGAAAGATGAACCCTAATAATATTTTATCCTCATGTTACAATTAATTAATAACGAGCCTTGCTAAGAACATATGTTACTTTTAAAAATAGGAATATGGGGTGCCTGGGTGGCTTAGTCAGTTAAGCATCCGACTCTTGATTTTTGGCTCAGGTCATAATCCCAGGCTCTCTACCGAGTGTGGAGCCTACTTAAGATTCTCTCTCCCTCTGCCCCTCCCCTGCTTACATGCATGTGTGCACGCTCTCTCAAATCAATCAATCTACCAATCAATAAGTAAAAGAATATGATAGAAATAGATATACCTGATCAAGGAACAATGTACAACACCATGAGAAATATATAACATCTTTCAGTTAAGCTCAATTATTTTATCTTGGAAGAAGAAATGATCAACCTATCTTTGAAAGTGAATGTTCAATTTATTTTTAAAATACTTTACCTGATTTAAATAATTTAGGCACTTTTCAAGACACCAAAGGCAACAAATGCAAGATTTCAGCACACATCGAGCACAAGCATTCTCCTGGAAAGGACAAAAAATTGAAATAATTAAAAACCAACATACAGAATATTCTAAATGTTAGAAAAATAAATAAAGTAAAAAAAAAAATCACAATCTATGTTTCAAGACCTCCATACCCACCTACCCTCTTTTCCCTCAAAATGTAATGGTTAAATTATTTTTAATCAATTTAATTTGACACATATTTAGTACCTATTGCATGTAAGATAGAGTATGATACATGAGATCGGCAAGGAACTTATACTATAGTTGAAGAAAAAAAAGCTAAACATAAAAAAAGGTCAGAATCAGAATATGTGATTGATACTATGAGAGTGGAGAACAGAGAGAGATGACATCATCTGGGAGAAGGAAGAATCAAGGAAGGTTTCTAGGAAGAGGTGGCATATCATCTAACCCATGTTGAAATGCATGTTATCTCCACAGCCAGGAATAGGGAAGAGGTTCCAGGGAGGAAGGTATGAATCAACACAGAGGGCGAGAAGCACAGGACATTTTGGGAAACCAGGGATATGATGGATTTTGCCAGAGCACAACGTAAGCAAGAGTGTGGGACAAGGCAGAAGGACTGGATTCTACTTTGCAAGGATTATGAAGAAAACATTCACAACTATGAACTGAACATGGTTGGGAGCTTTACTACAGGCAGAGCTGAGGTCTAGAATGTGACCACAGTTAAGTCCAGAAAAGAATTTTCTCCTTACCTTTCCTTTGAGCTGACTGTGAATGTACATAAGGATCATTCGTGGAATTTTGACTAATGTGATAATGAAAGATCCTTTTGCCACAGTACCAAGGTGATAACGAATAAGGCGATTCACTGATGCTAAAATAGGTGTAAATGGCAGATTCCTTTTATCCCTTTTTGAAAGATAACCAAAAAGACAATTAAAACAAAGGCTAAGTGCAGGAATGGTTTAGAGCCCAATGCAGTGAAAATAGTTCGTTTAAGAAAAGTCTAGGTTTATGACAAAATGGCAAAGTAACATGTAACTAATACAAATGCTATAGATGTACCAGATAAAATTAATGTTTCATTTCCTATGATAGTTTCATGGGGTTCTTATGCTCTAAGACTTTAAATAAAATGATACTGTGTTTTGAAAGCTTTTACTAGTAAATATTTATGGAGTTAAATGTACAATCAAAAAATGAAACTTAAAAAAGATGTACAATCGAGACCTGGTACCTCATTATAATAGAAGATTGTAAGGCCTACAAGCTTATATTCAGCTCTCAAGTTAGGAAAGAGAGTCACAATACTTGTTCTGACCCAAACAAATTAAAAAGGCTTATTGTCCTTTGGTGGACCTTTATATAATGCCAAAGTACATAAGACACTGTAAGATTTATTCTCCGGCTAAATAGAATTGAAGTTCTATCATGACCTGCTGTTCTGATTAATATTTTGAGAAACTTACAGAGCAGTAGAAAGATTAAAATCACTGCCTCCCATTTTACTACCCACCAGAATCATCAGCTCTAACATTTTGTCATATTTGCTTCCAATTAATTTTTATTTCATTTTATTTTTTTAAATTTTAACTTGTTTTATTTTTTATTTCTTTAAATTTAAATCCAAATTAGTTAGCATATAGTGCAACAATGATTTCAGGAGTAGATTCCTTAGTGCCCCTTACCCATTTAGCCCATCCCCCCTCCCACAACCCTTCCCGAAACCCTCAGTTTGTTCTCCATATTTATGAGTCTCTTCTGTTTTGTCCCCCTCCCTGTTTTTATATTATTTTTGTTTCCCTTCCCTTATGTTCATCTGTTTTGTCTCTTAAAGTCCTCATATGAGTGAAGTCATATGATTTTTCTCTTTCTCTGACTAATTTCACTTAGCGTAATACCCTCCAGTTCCATCCATGTAGTTGCAAATGGCAAGATTTCATTCTTTTTGATTGCCGAGTAATACTCCATGGGGTGTGTGTGTGTGTGTGTGTGTGTGTGTGTGTGTGTGTATACATATACACCCCACATCTTCTTTATCCATTCATCCATCGATGGACATTTGGGCTCTTTCCATACTTTGGCTATTGTTGATAGTGCTGCTATAAACATGGGGATGCATGTGTCCCTTGGAAACAGCACCTGTATCCCGTGGATAAATGCCTAGTAGTGCAATTGCTGGGTCATAGGGTAGTTCTATTTTTAGTTTTTTGAGGAAGCTCCATACTGTTTTCCAGAGTGGCTGCACCAGCTTGCATTCCCAATATTCGCTTCCAATTATTTTTTAAAGAAATGAAACTGTTTACCAGCTTCCGTTCCATTTCCTTCAAGCACAATCACTTAGATGATCTTAAGTTTTCTGACAAGTATCAATTCTCACCTGGTAAAATAGTAGGTTACCACAGCTCCTGCCACAGTCATCTGCTGACATGCTAGAATAAATTCACTGATCCAAATCAGGCCCACCACATGGTACCACCACATATACTGCAGAGGCCCAGAAACTCTGAACTCCACAAAGCCTTGGTCATTCTGAACAGCGCTGCCTAGGAAAATATCCAGGAAGGAAAGAAGAAGCACATAAAGTACAAACCAAGAAATATGGCTATTGAATATAAGAGATGAAACTAATTTCCAAAAATAGGCCCCTTCCCCCAAACCACAAACTTTATGATCACAGTGCTCTTTAATTAACAGACAAAATTACTTATCACTTGAGAAGTTGTGAAGCCAGACATTGTACAATTAAGCATTTTGTTTTCCCCAAAGGCATCATATAGCTTTTAAAAGGTGTTCTATTTGAATATAGTTCCATCACATCAGTTAATTTAGGCATGAATTTTCAAACTTCAATTTTTTTGGAGCTATTTTATTACTCTTCCAATAATTATAGACCTAAGTTATTTGCAAAATACAGAAATTAATATTATATTCAATTGGTAAATGCATGCTGAATGGCCAGAGAAGTTACATACAAACTTACTACCCTTACACCACTCCTCACAATTAATTCCATTTAAGTGTAAACTTTGATATATTTTTTATATGAAATTTATTGTCAAATTGGTTTCCATACAACACCCAGTGCTCATCCCATCAATGCCCATCACCCACTTTCCCCTCCCTCCCACCCCCCATCAACCCTCAGTTTGTTCTCAGTATTTAAGAGTCTCTTATGGTTTGCCTCCTTCCCTCTCTGTAACTTTTTCCCCCCTCCCCCTCCCCCATGACCTTCTGTTATGTTTCTCAGGATCCACATAAGAGTGAAAGCATATGGTATCTGTCTTTCTCTCATATTAAGAGTGGCTCCAACAAGTCTGAGAGTCTAACTCTGAACAGTATCATCACCAGGAATTCTACCTAGGTTCAGATCTTTTCCAAACTAGAGAATCCCAAGGAAGTAAGTTGATTTGGGCCGTAATGGGAGTTTAAGGCAGTTCCAGAGAGCTCTGCATTCATTTGTTCATCTTAGAATCAATCCAAAAGTCTGAATCAGTACTGGAGTTTACTTCAAAGCCATGAACTGGTTTAGATCTACTTTGCTAGGATGATCTAAAAATCATGAATTAGGAATGGGTTGTTGAAGAGCCATAACCACGCTGGTTCTGACGGCTGTTAGACCTTGGTCAATAAATGTCTTAAGAATTATAGCTGATGTTTTAAAATATTTTAATGCAAATCAAATTCATCACTATGAGAAAGAAGCAACATAGCTTCTTACCAGCGGTGCCAAGAAAAAGAAGTGTCATGATCCAGTATGCCCAAAATAAGACAAGAGCAAAGAAAGTCCAAAAGGGTTGGAAGACTAGTAGCGGCAAGTGAATGAAGACCTTGCCAGCCACGTGGAACAAGGCGATGGTGAGTGCGACACGTTTGCGCATAACCAGCATTATCAGGAACAAGAGAACCTGTACGGAGAGAATGCAGAGAAAGGTCCCAGTTATCGCTATAAGCAGTAAAAACAGAAACTGAAACAGGGTGGAAATTCCTTCATTTCAAATCAGGGAAGGATTATTCTCTGAATCCCAATAATACTTTATCCGTCTTGCAGCACTTAGCATCCTCAACTGAATATTGAAAATGTTCTTAAAGCAGCACACAAAAGGATTTCTCAATGTATTAATAAGTCTTTCGAGTTCTTCTACCTTTCCTTTTCTACTCATTATGAATCAAAATGTGTTGTTTGTCCATCAAGATGAGGCTTTTAATTTATTTGAATACATACATGCTTGTCACTATGAAAATAGGGGAGAAGACCATATGCTATGACTACAAAAGCACAGGAGGTATTTGTACCTCATTTCCTTTATCAGACCAAGAGCTCCTAGGGGCACCTGAGTGGCTCAGTCGGTTAAGCATCTGACTTGGCTCAGGTCATGATCCCACACTTCGTGGGTTTGAGCCTCGCATCAGGCTATCTGCTATCAGCAAACGGACCCGGCTTGGGATCCTCTGCCCCCCACTCTCTGACCCTCCCCAACTCATGCAGGCACGTGCTATCTCTCAAAAATAAACATAAGAGGGGTGCCTGGGTGGCTCAGTTGGTTGTGTCCGACTTCGGCTCAGGTCATGATCTCATGGTTCATGAGTTCGAGCTCCATGTCTGGCTCTGTGCTGACAGCTTAGAGCTTGGAGCCTGTTTTGGATTCTGTGTCTCCCCATCTCTCTGCCCCTTCCCTGCTCATACTCTCTCTCCTCTCTCTCTCTCTCTCTCTCTCAAAAACAAATAAAAATCGCACTGTCTCTCTCTATATATAATAAAAATTAAAAAAATAAATAAATAAACATAAGAAAAAAAAGAGCACCTACAGAGCACAGTCCATGTCGCATTTACCTCCTGCCCACCCTCATCGTGGTCTGAGTGAGAGCAGGTGAACTGTACTTAAAAAAAAAACAACAAAATTGTACTGTGGGATGCCTGGGTGGCTCAGTCAGTTAAGCATCCGACTTCAGCTCAGGTCATGATCTCACGGTTCATGAGTTCGAGCCCCGCATCAGGCTCTGTGCTGACAGCTCAGAGCCTGGAGCCTGCTTCAGATGCTGTGTCTTCCTCTCTCTTTGCTCCTCCCCTGCTCACGCTCTGTCTCTCTCTTTCTCTCTCTCTCTCTCTCTCTCTCAAAAATAAACATTAAAAAAAACTATACTTAAAAATGATTAGTAAATATTTATATAATAATAACAAACAAATACCTTTTGGCACCAATGGTTTTATGGTGGCTTCATTTTTTTACTTCTAAAGCTCAACTAAAAGCTTGGGATTGGTCCAAGAAGTGGTCTGAGATTGTGTTCCTTTTTTTTTTTTTTCAGAGAGGAGAAGGAGACAGACCAAAGATATAAATACATATTATATAACCACATGTTCATTAGTAATTTACTGTATAGTGCCCAGGCAGCAAAGATCACTTTTATTTGGAATAATGTTGTTAAAAGTTTAAAAAGGAAAAAAAAAAGTTTAAAGGGAAAACATGGGAAGATAATTAGCAAACAGGTAAATGAAACGATATGTATATTTCTTAACATACTTTAGTAAAGAAACCCATTTTTTAAAAAAGGAATTGTATTATGAAAATAATATGTTCTTCTTAACAAATGATAATGTGAATATTCTAAGTGAAAATCCTCTCTCAACAAGCGGGCAGCACAGAATAAAACGTTCCATTAGGAAAGCCTTCTGAAGACTCTTTAGTGTTCCATACCATGGGGTAGTTTTTATCTAAGGGAGATCGGGGTTAGGCATGCAATAGCCAGAGGTGAGTTTCTGCTTCATTAATGATCCCTGTGAATAAAAACACAAACCTAGAAGATAGCTGGCCCAAGTCCAGCTATACTCACTGTGAACACTGTGGCTGAAATGGCATAGATGAGGAGAGCCCGAAGATTGTCTTCAGCTATCTGAAGCTGTTCAGGAATAACTGTTTCTTTGGGAGACTTTCTTTGCTTTGCATACAGCCACCATAGTACACCTGTGCCACCTGGGTTCAAAAAACAATTGTTTTGGAAATAACTAGCATAAGAAAATGGGTTAACATTAATCTTCACTTTCCTGGACCCTTCCTACATAACACCGGGGGACTAACATGGCAACAATCCATTTGGCTGGGAGGTGTGTGGCTGTAACTTTTTGCAGGCATAAGGGGAGCTCCATTTACTCCATTTTCATCATGCACACTAGGTTACTAAGACATCTTTCAGTGTATCAAATAAACATCCTTCAACTGTATCTATTATTGGCTCTGAAGCTCAGAGAGAGCCTACAAAGAGAGGCACCCCGAGAGGAACTGATCATAAAGAGACTCAGCACCTGTTGAGAGCTGGGGAGTTTGTACGAAGCAAGTAAGGGTCACAGAGATCAGCAATGAAGTTGAGGAAGGCAAAGATCTTTTCTATTGGGCCATCACAGAAACCCCCCTGCCTCGTGCTGAAACAGTTATGCAGTTGATTCAGTACCAATGAGCAAATGAAGATCAAAGACTTGGTTCCCACCAAAAGTGGGAAAAAGATAGGAAATCTTTGATAGCTTAATAGAAGTGTGTGCCAGAGATGGGAGTTGTTCTCCTCATCACTGGTTCAGAGTCCAAGAACTAGACAGAAGAGGGGGGCAACCCACCTCTACAGAAGAGGGTTGCATCAGACACCTTCATTCTGAGTGCCCAGAGCCATCTACCCATCTAGGTACTGGGGACAGAGCTGTGAACAAAACCCAGTCCCCACCCTTGTCCTCCATGGAGCTTATACAGTAATAAGGAAACAAACAAACAAACAAATAAGGAAGTAAGTAAAAATAAAGAATATGAAGTCTAAGAAAAAAAAGTCACTTTTTTTTTTTTAAAATTTTTTTTCAACGTTTATTTATTTTTGGGATAGAGAGAGACAGAGCATGAACGGGGGAGGGGCAGAGAGAGAGGGAGACACAGAATTGGAAACAGGCTCCAGGCTCTGAGCCATCAGCCCAGAGCCCGACGCGGGGCTCGAACCCACGGACCGCGAGATCGTGACCTGGCTGAAGTCGGACGCTTAACCGACTGCGCCACCCAGGCGCCCCCAAAAAAAGTCACTTTTTAATAGGGATAGAAAGTGCTGGGGTTGGGAAAGCATTGTGAGAAGATGAGTAAGCAAGGTCTCAGTGGTGAGATGTTATTTGAGCAAAAGAATCAAAGACAGGGAGAAAACAATCTATAAAAGTATCTAAGGAAAGGGGTGCCTGGGTGGATTAGTCAGTTGAGCCTCTGACTTTGGCTCTGGCTATGATATCATGGTTCGTGAGTTTGAGCCCTACATCAGACTCTATGCTGACAGTGCAGAGCCTGCTTCAGATCCTCTGTCTCCCCACCCCCACCTCTCTCTCAAAAAGAAATAAAAACATTAAAAAAAAAACAAAAACAAACAACATCTAAGGAAAGGATGTTCCAGGCAAGAGATGATAGCAAATTCTAAGATGCTGATATGGGACCATGCCTGGCAGGAGAGAAAGGAGGAGGGCCACTGTGGCTACAGCAACTAGCAAGGGGCAGAGTAGGAAGAGTGGTGGGCTGGGGGGCACCGGGCACCAGATCATACTGTCAGGCCTTGTAGGCCACAGTAAGGAAATGGAAGATTCAGAGTAAAGATATGTATGTGTGGGCAGACAAGATAAACGTCTGGGAGAAGACAAATAGGGCTGAGATCTGTGCAAATCAACGTGACCTCCACCTGCGCTCAAGTAAACACTGAATAGTGTCAAAGGGAAATTCCAACTCTACCTGGTGGCAAATAGCAACTGAGAATTATTTTCTACTGAAGATGAGTAAACAAACTTCAACAACCACCAGTCTCTGAAAAACATTTGAAAAAGGGAAATATTTCCATTTTGAAATCTTAAAGAAAATTGTAGCAGCCTCAAAAAAATGGAATAAAATATGTTCTCTGCAAACAGGAATAAAAAGTGAGGAGAGGAAAGGCAAACAGAAATGAGACAGAAAAACAGAAAACAGAATGAGCTAATAATGAAGACATCAAGGAGGATACTGTTCACAACAGCCGCAGCAGACATCATTTATTAAACATGTAAATCTGTGTCGGGGGGGCACCTGGGTGGCTCAGTCGGTTAAGCACCCAACTCTTGATTTCCACTCAAGTCATGATCTCGAGGTTTTTGAGTTTGAGCCCCGTGTCAGGAGCTGCACTAACAGCATGGAGCCTGCTTATGATTCTCTCTCTCTCTCTCTCTCTCTCTCTCTCTCTCTCTCTTCCTCTCTCCTTCTCTTTCTCTCTCTCAAAATAAATACACTTACAAATAAATAAATAAATAAATAAATTTGTGTCAGGAACCGTACAACAGATGTGACCAAAGTGAATCACTATGATACTATTAAGTAGGTAATACAAGTCCCATCTTATACATAATAAATACAATCGAAATTCAGGAAAGTTAAGTAACATGCCACATGTCACATACCAAGTAAGTGGCAGAACTGGAATTCAAATCTACTTTTATTATAAAAAATTCTCCATATATTATAAACTGAATGTTTGTGTCCCCATAAAACTCATATACTGACATCCCAATCCTTAATGTGATCGTTGGTATTTGGAGTTGAGTGTTTGGAGGATGATGAGGTCATGAGAGTGGAGCCCTCATGAATGGGATTAGCGCCCTTATAAAGCAGACCTCAGAGAGCTCCTCCCTGCTTGCACCACGTGAGAACATAGCAAGATGATGGCTGGATACAGGAAGCCAGCCCTCACCAGATAACGAACCTGCACATGCCTGAATCTGGCCTTCCTAGCCTCCAGAACTGTAAGAAGTAAATGTTCCCTGTTGATAAGGCATCCAGTCAATGGTACTTTGTAATAGCAGCCCAAAGTGACTAAGACACCATCACTAGAACTGGATACAAAGGCCACAAGTAGAAATGAAAAGAAATATGGCTGGGAGAAGGAAGAACCGGAATAATAGAAAGAAGTAGTCAAGTACAGAACCAGCAGTGAGGAAAACTAAATCAGTGATATGGAAGATACGCTTGAAGAACACTTCCTGAATACAAGGAAAATGTTATCAGGATTAAAATGATAATTTAGAAGATGATAGCAAAAGAATGAACAATGGTCCTAAGAAGAAAACCACTAGAACAGAAACAATAATCAAATACAGAAATAAGAAAACTTACTTCTGTGTTGGAAAATATGTGCCCCCCCCAAAAAAGAGATCATAGGCAAACTTAAAGATTCAGAACTAGGGGCGCCTGGGTGGCGCAGTCGGTTAAGCGTCCGACTTCAGCCAGGTCACGATCTCGCGGTCTGGGAGTTCGAGCCCCGCGTCGGGCTCTGGGCTGACGGCTCGGAGCCTGGAGCCTGTTTCCGATTTCTGTGTCTCCCTCTCTCTCTGCCCCTCCCCCGTTCATGCTCTGTCTCTCTCTGTCCCAAAAATAAATAAACGTTGAAAAAAAAAAAAAAGATTCAGAACTAGATAGAAACTTTAAATTATAAGAATAAGTTAAGGGGTGTCTGGGTGGCTTAGTCGGTCAAGCGTCTGATTCTTGATTTCAGCTCAGAAATAAAATTAGACTGGTCTCCAAAAAGTAAAGTACAGACACTGGGAACGTGTTGCACCTCAAGAATTTTACATGCAACAGATTCAATATTCACATGTAAGGCAAAAATAATCTTAGATAATCAAGAGTTGAGAAAATATATGACCCACAATTGCTTCGTGAATAAGTTACTCGAATTCAGATTCTCATCAAAACAGAGATGAACCAAAATTAAGAACTCAAGAATGAAGTTTTAAAAAAATAGTTCTCACTAAAACTAGGACAGAAGAATGTAATAAACTTAAATGTAATTATGAAACATTTCAAGGCAAAGCAAAAATTCTTTAAAAAGGGTACAATGTATTAAATAATATTTTAATTCTAAAATAACCTGATTGCAAAAACACAGATTATTTGGTAACAGTTATAAAGTGGGACAGGTTGGAAAAAAAGAAGTTTATGTTGAATTTAAACGAGGTGGAGGAAAACTCAACACATACTCCTTCATTTCAGCCTTTAAAAATTACAGAATTAAAAGTTATTTAATTTTTTAATGTTTATTTTTGAGAGAGAGTGTATGAGCGAGAGAGGGGCAGAGAGAGGGAAACACAGAATCCAAAGCAGGCTCCAGGCTCTGAGCTGCCAGCACAGAGCCTGATGTGGGACTCAAACTCACAAACTGTGAGATCATGACCTAAGCCGAGATCAGACACTTAACTGACTGAGCCATCCAGGCACTCCTAAAAATTATAGAATTTTAAAATTTATAGGATAGAATTCTATAGAAGGAGCCATTCAAAAATTATAGGATTCTAGATTAAAGAATATTTTCTGAAAATGTATAAGTTATCAACTGTAGAAATAAAAAATAAAATATATGTTGGGGTGCCCAGGTGGCTCAGTTGGTTAAGCGTTCAACTATTGACTTTGGCTCAGTATCTCATGGTTCATGAGTCAAGTCTGACATCAGGCTCTGCTCTGGTAGTGCACAGCCTGTTTGGGATTCTTTCTCCCTCTCTCTTTGCCCTTTGCAACCCCCTTCAAAGTAAATAAATAAACACTAAAAAAAAATTACTAAAAAATACACACACACACACACACACACACACACACACACACGGCATATATATATGCCATCCAAAGCAAGGGTGACAATAACCAAAGAAAGCACAATCCATATTGTAAAGATAGGGAAAACAACATAAAAAAGCACAGACTTAAGGAAAACATAAAAGAGATGACATCAGTAAGACCAAACATAGCAGACAGGATCATAAGTGTAATGGGGACAAACTCCCCTAATAAAAAAGTTTCACAATGAGTTAAAGTATTTCATTTTATTTTAAGTATTTTTTTTTTCAACGTTTATTTATTTTTGGGACAGAGAGAGACAGAGCATGAACACGGGAGGAGCAGAGAGAGAGGGAGACACAGAATCGGAAACAGGCTCCAGGCTCTGAGCCATCAGCCCAGAGCCTGATGCGGGGCTCGAACTCACGGACTGCGACATCGTGACCTGGCTGAAGTCGGACGCTTAACCGACTGCGCCACCCAGGCGCCCCAAAGTATTTCATTTTAAAAAGCAGTGAAAAAAAGCATTAAAAAAATATATATATATGTACATGTATATATATATCTGTATTATATATATGTATTCTGAATACATTATATATATATTATATATATAATATATATATAATATATATATATAATATATATATAATGTATTCTGAATTTCAAGTTGCTAATAGTGGTCAACAGAAGGGAAGTAGGGTTCCTGAAAAATTTAAAAGCAAAAGTAAATTCTCTTTAAAGAAAAGAGGTGGTATGTGAAAATAAAACTTTTTTCTTTTTTTATATTTCTATTTTCTGCCATAGAAGTAGTTAGATACCATTAGTAGGTGTCACATTTATGATTGGGAGGGGGGAGAAATTATTATTTTCAAAAAAGACAATAAACATACAAATCCCATAAGGTTTCATTAGAAATAGTAAAACAGGGGCGCCTGGGTGGCTCAGTTGGTTGGGCATCCGACTTTGGCTCAGGTCATGATCTCGTGGTTCATGAGTTTGGGCCCCACGTCCGGCTCTATGCTGACAGGTCAGAGCCTGGAGCCTGATTGGGATTCTGTGTCTCCGTCTCTCTCTGCCCCTCCCCTGCTCATGCTCTGTCTCTCTCTTTCAAAAATAAATAAACATTAAAAATTTTAAAAAGAGTAAAACAAAAACATTAAACAAAATAGAATGCCAATAGAAAAATGAGTAATGAAATTTTACACACATAAAATTATCCTCCCAGAAATATTTTAACCAGAAAGAATTTCAACACCTTAAAATGGTAGATTCAGGCCTTTAAAAAGTCCAAGATAAAAGCAAAGGGGTCCCTTCCTCTGCCAGGCAGGGAACACTGAAAGAATCATGTGAAAATTAAAGAACAAGAAGCAGAACAGAGCCTCAATTGCTTTTTTTTTCCTCTTGGGCTCTTCTCCCCAAACTGACACTGACAGAAAAATGTGAGCCCCCTTTTATTCCAAATATGCCAATGACTCTGCCATTTTATTCCATTTAGTGATCTCACAGTGAATTAACTTCAGTGTAATCCACTCACCAGTCTTTTTATAGTTTATAAATGAATTCACAAGGCTTACAAAAGGAAAATTATTTAAAGTAATCAAAGTGGTTCTGCACTGAGGGGCTGTTAAGAGCAAACTTCACTCTCAATTCTAATTACTAAAAAACAAAGGAAGAAGCAGCTTACCAAGTGAACCCAGTATGACCAAAATTGTTAAGATCCACACAAGTACTCTTGATATATACCTGATTATCACCATCAAAATCATGGAGAGAACTGCAGGGAAGATAGAGAACATGTAGAATATTATTTTAAAACACTGGAAAACACAAAGAGAAACTCTTTCAATTGTTTTCTCCTAGGAATATAATACGTTGCTATTGACCAGTTCAAGACCCCAGTTTAGGGAAGAAGGGTAACTAGCTACTTTTGCATTTCTGGTACTCGAGCCTACGTGCACCACTTGAATTGTGTCACTTGGAAACTACAGGCACCTAACTGTGGGTTTATAAGTGACAGAAAAGAAAACATGCAAATGCACATGGTGACTCAAAAACAGCACAGAACTGTTGTGGATTCACCACGGGAAGACATTGGAACTCACATGCAAACATACATGCTAACACACAAAGTGTAGAGAATGATGTGTCATGTTGGTGATGAGAAAAATTACCACACATAGACAGAGATCAGTTAAACTAGCTACACTTCCATGTGTAATCCTCACATTTCAAGACCAACTTCTCTAACAGTTGGTCAATGAGCTAGACAGTATTTTATCTTTTTCTGGTCATTTCTCTTCTAAAACTCCAAGAGATGCTCTGATCCTACAGAATAATATTCTGAAGCCTACGGAGGCCCAAATTCCTCTGACCTTAATTTTCAACTGGTGTCAGGGGTCCTGATTGGTTGAGAGACTCTTCAAAGAAAAGCAAAGCTTAGTTTGAGTTATTTAGCCAAATGCTTCTACCCATCCCAAGCTAAATTCCAACATGCTAAAATCTGGAGTGAAAATCTTAAAAAAGAAACTGGGAAGATTTGACCTTTGCATGGGGAAATTCATTTCTGAAATCATAATTTGTTCATCTTTAATCATTTAAAGGCCCATTTCACAAATAAATTCTTAAAGATCTTAAGCCTCAAGAGAACCATTCTAATAAAAACTGGAATCCCAATGACTTAACATTATTATCACCAGTTTTAAGGTGTTTCCCCCCCATCCCCCCCGCCTTGGTCAAAGTATTCAACTATTTCAGAAACCAAATAATTTTTTCATAAAGCCAGACTAGTACTCAAGATTTTTCGGGCCATTTGCAAAGCCAAATAAATGGTTGGGATCTGTGACTGGGTAACATTATTAAGGTACTCACTTTTGCAATAAATGTACAGGAACCAAAAACAGATGGGAGCGTTTCAAATATCACAGAAATAGCTTTTCATATGGACAGCATTATTTCAATTGAGTCAAGTACTACCTAAGCAAAAAGAAAATACTCTCTAATGACAAGACGGAAATACAGCTAGTCTTCTCAAAGACTATAATTGTTGTTAACAGGTATAAGGTATAACTCATTTCACATATATAATGAGATAGTTGCTTGGTTCCTACCACAGTTTACTCCTCCCAACTAGAAAGATCTATAGATTCTGATATGGCTACATATAGTTCTAGGATAATGTAGGGAGTTGAAATAACATTTACCTAATTATATTATCTATTGACAATAAAACTCAATGGCTAACAAGTGGAGATTTCCTAATTTTTCCAGCAATACAGTGACATCATGAACTGTAGCAATGAAAAAAAAAAACATATTTCAAAAGTAATCTATCAGAAATCTATGTTCTTTGATGGAAATGTGTAAGAGAATATGTGGCCTCCTTTCATAAGCCTTTGGAATCATAACTGAAAACAAAGGGGTGTTGATTCATTAAGAGAAGCCTCCTCCTATCATATTAAAGGTTATTAGAGACAGTAACCAAAGTCTGGGAAAACACCAGTTTTCTCCAATGATAGAAAAAGAAAGGAAATTAGTTTCAGATATATAAATATATATATATATAAATATGTATATATTTATAACTATATATAATCTGAAACAGTTATTTTGGCTATGGGAAGTTAAACATTTTACAGGTATCCCCACTGTATTCATATTTTGGTTAAAAGACAGAACAGTCTTCTACTGCAGTACTATGCAATAGCTAATAATGAGAAAAACAATTACCTAGTGATAACAAGCAAAGTCCCAATATAATTTCTTTGCTGGTCATTACTCCACTAATCAGCCTGTGTAAGACACTATTGTCACTGACAAAGGTGATCAGGGCCTCTGCAAACTTGGCATAGCAGGAAATGTTCACAGGAGCACAGCGATGGAAGAATGGAATAGGTGCACTGGTGACACAAGAAAAAAAAATCAGAAAAAAAATTACTCCTACTTAATATAAATGCCACATCAAACACACAAATGAAAGGTGATTATGACTGCAATACACTCCACCCTCCACACATCATATGGGCGCTAAGAGCCGTGAGCTTAATGCTATGAAGATGACTGTCATGGGCAGGGATGCGAATCTTGCCACAGGCCTTATCAAAGAGGGTGGAGTGCATGTTCCAAAGAAGACATTACCCTCCCCTTCTGAAAAGAAACACACACACATATACACACACATACGCACATACAGAACTACCAAAAGCAAAACCAAACACTTAAACTCCTCAGCCTGCACATCTATCAGTCAAGGGGCAGATGACAAAACTTAAGGAACATATACTTCATTGAGCTGAAAATGAATTTTTGCCATAAGCTATTTAAAAATAGAAAACACACATGCTTTTGCTTGAAATGTGCCACCATTAATAGAATGTTTCCTCTATCAGAACAGCATACAGAACCTTGCATTAAAAAAGGTGTTCGGGGCACAAGCTTAATAATCCTCATATAAATTAATCATGCCAAGACATCAACATACAGCATAATGTGCAGCTAATTAAAACAATAACCATGGATACTAATGTATGGAAACACGAGGTTAATAGTACAAGGGGAAAAAAACAAAAATTTCTATCTAAAGTGATGGTTGTATCTCTGTACAAAAGATATATACATAAAAATGAGAACAGAAAAAATATAAATAAATGAAAAATCTCTGATTCGTTAAGGTCATGGGATTCTGAGCTGTTTTCTTTCTATATATAATTTTTATTATAAGATTATTTGTGTTCAAAAAAAAAAAAAGACGTAATCCGTTATTATCAGGTTTACACTGACCACAACTCTTTTTGTGAAGGAACACAGTTATGTGTGAACCATGACATAAGTAAGTCTGGTTTGTTATAACATATTCTACTTTAGCCTTGGAAAGTATGGTATGCATCTGATCAATGAGAGATTCTAAAAAAGCTCTATGAACATGCCCTCAGTTGTGATTTGAATGAATTCTAAGAGAGTCCATATGTCTGTCCATACAGAAATACACACTTCTGTGTGCACTAAAATTTAGCTATCACTAACATAAATCTCATATTTTCAGAATTATTTGTGGAACTATCAGTCATAGCTCTAATATAACACCGTTGGCTGGAATGATATAAGTATGCTCTCATTTTTGGTTGGCACTGTATTTTGTATCAAATTAGTGGAGAAGAGTCTATGATTGGGCACCAAATTCCAAAGTTTCTGATCTCAGCAAGCAATTTTGTATGACCTGAAGCAAATCACTATCTTTGTTTTTCCTTCCTCAAAAAACAACAAAAATATTTTTCAAACAAAAATAAACGTGTACTATGTATTGATTTTCCTTAAATGCTGGTAAATGAGCATCACTGGGAGTAAGAGTAGGCAACATCTTCCATCCTGTTGAACTTCATGGAACAATAAAATAATTATAAAGGTCTAGTCTTACCTTAGTTATGCTTCAGCAAAATGTATCCCCCCAAAATGATGTGACACTATGATAGAAATGTTCACTTAAAAAAGAAGTGACTCTTGTGACTTGTGGGTGTATTTGTGTATACCTCTAAAATGGTGTTGGTGAAAGTTAATGTCCAAGATTCAATATTTTGTCAGAAATTGCAGAAAGTCAGAGCATTCTTAGTAGGGCTTAAATTACAGGCATGCAAGTCATTGTTTTTGACCAAATTTGTTTCGCTAATGATATAAAAAGCTATTAAATTACAGAATACCTTTAAGTGAAATGGATTTCATCAGAAATATTACAGGAAAGAATCAAAAGAATTGACCATAAGTTCATAGTCAATGGAGGCTAATGTGGGACACATTAGCTTCATTGTGACCTATAACTGTTTTTCTTCCTGATGCTATCTAGATAATGTCCCTGACACTTTAATATCCCTGTCTGAGGACTTCTGACCATATTTTTAACTGAAGCCTCGTTCTCTATCCTTTGAAACCAAAGTCCTCTCTGTTCCATGGTTACCTATATCTTCATCTGCTTTACTTATTACCCTATCATTTCTGATATAGCCTCTGTTTAACTCACTTGCCTCCAACCTTGAACATAAAATGTATCTCCCTTAGGGATACTGATGTCATTTTCTCATTTTCAACATCCACCAATTTTCTTGGCCCTGCTGTTTCTTTTTTCCTGTCATATAACCACAAGTGTACCTTACCCTCTGTCCAGAAGCAGCTCCACCTGTATCTCCCATATACTAACAGGATTTTAATATAGTTTTATACTCAAAGAGACATACACGACATTTCTAAAAGAGAGCAGAGCCTGTTATAACAGAAAGAAAACTGGCCTTGACTTCAAAAGCCCTGGGTGATCCTCCTAACATTACATAGCTTCAGGTCACTCCATCTCTCTTTCTCAGTTTCTCCATCCGTTAGCTGAAAGGATAGGAGTAAGACCTCTCTGAGTCTTTGATGATGATGATGATGATGATGATGTTGATGATGATAACTGTGATAGATCCCAGCCATAAGTCAGTAATTCTAAATTAATAGGAGCAGATGCCCAGTAGTGTTTGTGTTTTTCTGCTTTTCAGACTTATAATGAGGATCGATGGTTTGAAAAGGGAAGGATTATACTCTTAAAATTCGAATCTTTCATTCCTATTTAAGAGGAAATGCTGAGCAATATTTGCACTCTTACCCTCTCAAGTCATTTTTATACTATCCATAAACACTTGGCTAATTGGAAAGAGTGCTTTTACAAGTCTCCTTCAAAGGATTGAAGCAAAGTAACAACGGGTCCCTTACCTTATAATTTAATCTATGTTGGTTTAAAGAAAAACCTGACAGCTCTACATTTGAAGGTATAAAACTAGTACAGGCAGATTACATTGTCTGGCTGATGGTCAAAATGGTCAAGTGGTAAGGAATATCAGAAATAGAAGACAAATAAAAGAGAAGGCAATGTTTGGTTACAATTAAAAAAGCAAAGTTAAATACTTAGTCAAAAAAATTTTTTAATGTTTACTTATTTTTGAGAAAGATAGAGACCGAGTGCAAGCGAGGGAGGGGCAGAGAGAGAGGGAGACACAGAATCCGAAGCGGGCTCCAGGCTCCGAGCTGTCAGCACAGAGCCCGACGCGGGGCTTGAACTCAGGAACGGTGAGATCATGACCTGAGCTGAAGTCAGACGCTCAACCGACTGAGCCACCCAGGCGCCCCTAAATATTTAGTTTCAAAGAAAAAGCACTACACTCCCTTGTCTTCATTTTCTCTACCAAACAAAAACAACTTAATCAGCCATGAGTTTTTAATACTCAGATGATTTTCTTGTTAAAAAATCTAAGTAATCATGGCATTGAAATGGTTTGTCTTATATTTTACCTTAAATCCTATGTGATACAATGAATTTGAGTTAGCTGATTTCATATACCTCTCAGAAAGTAATACTTCTATGAGATCTTTTCTACTTTAGTATCTAACCTAAATGACACACCCTGTGCTTCGTAATTAAGAGGACAGCATAAAGAATTCTATTTATAGTAAGTTCCTCTACCTCTTGAAGCCCACAGAATATTGAATCTTTAAGAAGTCAATGTAGTCCTGTTAGGAACTGATGCTGTTTCACATTATTGAAACATCAGTCAACAAGAACAAAATGAATTTATAATGAGTCTTTTAAAGATTTTTAAAAATTAGCCACTCAGAGGAAAATTGTATCTTACCTTGGCAAACATACTGTCCATTTGCCTTAAGTCCAGACTATCATAGCTAATGAGCTCCCTCAAAATATGATGACAAACAATGTATTATCTCTTGTCCGTAGGCCTTCAGAAGTGAAGACAGGAGTTTGCATCTCCATTATCTTAAAATCTCAGGTTATAAATAAGCAATTACACATGATTTCTAAGGAAAAGTTTTATTTAAGAAAGAGTAACAATAAAGGATTCTGGCAATAGCTCTATAGCACAGAAAACACAGCAAATAAATAAAGACTATAATGGCAATACTCATTGGTTTTTCAAACATTTCATTTTATTTATTTTCTCACTTTCATTCTTGTACTCTTTTTTAAAATTTTTTTTAAATTTTTTTTAAGTAGGCTCCATGCCCAATGTGGGGCTTGAACTCATAACCGTGAGATCAAGAATCGCATGCTCTACTGACTGAGCCAGCCAGGCTCCCCCACCTTTTTTTTTTTTTTTTTTTTTTTTTTTAACCAACTGGTGTAGGACTTTGTCTTGGGGAAGACGGCAGAGTAGGAGGGCCCTAAGCTCACCTTATACTATGGATACAACTAGAAAACGCTCACATCAGGGTAAAACTAACTGCAGTATAGACTTCACAAGATCTTAGATTAAAATTATGATTCCCAACGATTAGTTTTGTGGCTTTGCACAACTTATTTAACTGATCTTCTACTTCCTCATCTATAAATTAGGAACAATATCCTTATAGGATTTTGTAAGGACTAAATAAGACAATATATATGAGAAACTTAATATGGTGGCTATAGCACACAGCAGATGATTTATAAATGCTAATTAATGTTGAATTCTTCATTTTAAAATATGTACAGATAACACTTTTTTTCTTGGCTATTGGTTTCTCATTTCCATATCATGCTATTAATTCTCCAACACCTAATATCCTTACTGGCATCCAGAAGTATCCAATAAATGGTGAATAAACTGAATTTATGTAATCTGTTTCTACCACTGCAATTTTCTCTAGCTATACCTAAACCTTTAAGCATTTTAAGCATAAGGGCCAGCTTGTCTCCCTACTGCTACCATGCGTGGCATGTCATCAACAGAGAGTTATGAATTTGGATAAAATATGGCCCTTTCCAGGCATTTGCTTTTAAAATTCGAAAGCTCATTAGGAATAGTAACCATTTGGCAATTATGTGGTGTGAGTGTTTTATTGCAAATTAGTTTACAATGGCTTTTATCTAAGAAACAGGCATTGCTTTCGGTTGCAAAGGGTCCCTGGGAACCCAGGAAGGTTAGGGGCAAAAGGGGAGGCTCTAGAGGTTGACAGAAATACTTACTCCTTAAGCCAGATGTCAAGCACAATAATGGATGCTTAAAGGGGCACCTGGGTGGCTCGTCGTTAGCGTCTGACTTCGGCTCAGGTCATGATTTCGTGGTTTGTGGGTTCCAGCCCTGAGTTGGGCCCTGTGCTGAGTTCAGAGCCTGGAGCCTGCTTCAGATTCTGTGTCTCCCTCTCTTTCTGCCCCTTCTATGCTCATGCTCTGTCTCTGTCTCTCAATAATAAATAAACGCTAATTTTTTTTTTTTAAATAATGGATGCTTAAAACATTGCCTATTTAATTCTTACAACAATTCCATGACAGAGGTATTAACATTCCCATTTTACATAAGAGAAAACTTGGTTCACAGAGAGGTTAAGAGACTTGCTTGAGCTGGCAAAGAGAAACTGGTGACACAGAATTCACCCCCAGGCCTATCTGGACTTAAGGTTTAGCTCTTTCTGTCCCACTAGGGCACTCCTCAGAGGACCACAAAATAGATAGGAACCATGCTGAAGGCCACTTGCCTCAGCACAGGTTTGCCTAGTGCTAGTCTTTTAGTGTATACAAAAAAGTCACCAAAACAGTCCCTTTTTTTTTTTTTTTTAAGGACAGAGTTTCTTAAGGACAGAGACTAGATCTTACTTATCTTTGGAGATTTGGTATCTAATACTAAGTGTGGAACATGGTATTGCCCCAAGTTTTTTATTAGAACAAATTCTTTGTTTTTTGATCCTTATACTTGTTGCTTGTCATATGCTAAATGATGATATTTACAAGGTCCTAATCTGACTTCCTTCTATCAACTGTTACTTTGCTTTTACTTTCCAACAGGCTGAGTTCAAATTAAAGTGGTAAGATACTTTTAGACTGTAAGGTACTAAGATTAGTGAAACATGGGGATATATAAATAAGTATAAACAGTATACAGTCAGGTTTCTGATGGCATAGGGTCATCATTGCTTCTTGGATTACTGAGACATTAGTAGATGACCTTGTGAGAAGCCCAGTCTGTCCATGTCTAAAACCCAAGCCCCTAATACTATGTTTCATCTTAAAGGGAATGTCCTTAGGACACCTTATGTGAGATATGTGAGTTATATACAGCCAAGAATGGAACACCTGAGATAGATACCCAGGAACAGGCAGTCCTCAACATGGTAGAGTCGGAGGTCATTGGTGCAGGAGGATTTACCTGACCCCACCCATAATACACAGGGGCATCCTCACATCAAGGCTTTCAGGTAATCCTTTCATAACATGTTTACGCCTTAAAATGTGACTCTACACTCAAAGTATGCATTTAAAACAGGCTTTTAGCAGTTGAGTCGATAAGAGGACAGAGCCTTTCTTGTTTTTACATTGATAAATTTTCTCCAGTGACTCTATTCTAAGGACCTCCTTTTCTTTACTGTCACAGCCTCCCTAATAGTCTCAATGTTCATGAATGGAGTCTCTTTACCAATTGGTCTAAGCCCAGAATTTATAGGCCCTACTTACTATCTTTTTAAAACAGTTCCTTTATTTTTATTTCCATAGGCTTTACATTTTAATTTCAATAGCAACGTGACAAGACTAAAAGAGCTGGAAATCAACTAAAGTGATATTATTCCGTTGTCTACTTTTTCAACAGAAAATTTCAAATTTCACTCAAGTTAATAAAGCACAAGTTACACCCATAAGCAAGCCAAAGGAAAGCAGACATAAGATGGGTCTCAAAATGTTAACCTGTAGCTTGCTGTCATATACTAAGATATAATAAAAATGGTCTCAATTCAGTATTCCTAGTGAAGTTGACGCATGTCATACATGGTTAGTGATACACACTGAAGGTTCTCAAGATCAGACATGTTCCAAATCCTACGCCCCTAATTCTGAGGATATATTGTACAATGCTTGCAAATTTGTTTCCTTGTTAAAAAAAAATCTGTAATTTTAAAGCTGGCTTTATTTATAACTACTGTGAGATCCTTCCAAATAAAGAATATTTCTTGTCTCTTCTGTGCATCCATGATATGCAGTAGGTACTTAATAATAAATATTTGTTGAATAAGACCTTGGATAAGATATGGCAAACAGCGTATTATTATAGAGAATGTACCTAAAAGATGTAGCCTGAAATAAAGGATGGAGAATAATCTGGCATATTTTTTAAATTTACAAAGTAAATTAAAAAATAATCCCACTAAGTATTACTGGAATCAACTTCAGAGAATCTTTGGAGACTGTGAGACTTGGCTTCTAATTTCACTGCAGATTTTGTAATGATTCAGCAGTTCTCCACACTTAAAAAGTATGGCATTAAAAAAAAAAAAAAGTGAGCCCCCCAAAGAAATTTAAAATATCTGAGAATGAGAAAAGTTGTTTGTCTCTGTGTGTGTTTTAAGATATGAAACACATGTTGTCATTTCTACTACTACTTTTTAAGTCTTGTTGTAAAAATAAGTACTGGTCATAAGCAACAGGTATCATCAAGTGACTTTTCTCTCAGAATAATATATACAGTTTAAAATCTACCTACAAAAACAAATTCACAAGTTAACAAAATACAATAAAAGTTACCTCGCTGGAACTGGTAGTTTGGGGCAAAGAACAGAAGCTTTTGAAGATGTAGTATATTCAGAAGGCTTTAGGTTGTAGCTACACAGTGCTGAGCCTGTTGAAAGAAAAGCTGTATGTTAGCTGGCAGAACAGAGCCTAAATAAATTCTCCCATGGATTCACTGTAATTTCATTTTGTATGTTAATATCAACTCAACATATACAACCTTTAAACACTAGAATTAATAAGAATCTGACTTGGTCTTTAGCATCAGTCCTCAATCATTTAAAACTAATTTCTCTCTTGCAATTTATGTACAAAGTTTAATAATACTCAGGGTAATAATAACAGTAAGTACTAGAACTACCTTTCTTGAGTGTCTGCCATATATGTTATATATATATATATATATATATATATATATTTTTTTTTTTTTTTTTTTTTTTTCCTTAAAGAGTCAACTTTTAATTATAACTAACCAAACCATGTCCAGGGACATCTCCAAACAACCAAACAACAGAAACATGACAAAATTCTCCTGTTGAAGAAGCCAAGTATCTTGGCCCACCCCAGCATTTCTGAGGGTCAGGCCAAGAGCAGCCCATTTCCAGGGCTGGTTCTATACCCATGCAAGTTTATCATCCCTGCAGAAGGATTGGAGATGGACCCCTCTTTCCAACACACTGGGAACTCAGAAAGTCACTAGGTGGAGGGGCTCTCCTCTCGCCCCATACATATGTTAATTATGTGTTTACTTTAACTTGATTAAGCAGGGGCTATTACACCTCCTTTACAGAAGACGAAATAGAGGCTAAAAGATAAGATATATAACTTGCCCAAGATGACCCAGCTACTAGGAAGGAGAGCTGGAATTGAACCCTAGGTGTCTCTGACTACAAACCCTGCCTCAACTACACATGACGTCCCTCTTTCCTATGCTTCCCATTACTAAGTATGTAAAAGGACTGCATACAGCACATATGTTTTCAGACAATATGTTTCTTTTTCCTTATTTTAAAGGCAGTAAATAGTAACTGTAAATAAACTGAACAAATTGATCAAAGAATTCTCAGCTTTCAGAGAGTTTAAAACAAGCTCAAATTCAATCCTAGGTTGGTTATGCAAACAGCCATCTATTTCTTGGTCTGTGTGGCTAATACAAATCTAAATAATATGTAAAAGTCGGATGCAGTCCAGCCAATCCTTGATAAGTATTATTTTACTGACCTGCTGATTTTGTAATACAGCAACGAGAATACTGTCAGGTTCATTGTAACGATAAATACCGTTAACTGAGAAGACCTAGGCTCTAGTCCTAATCTTGCTAAGGACCTACTGCACTCTATCATGTAAACTGTTTATATTTTATTAATTGCAGTTCCTATCAGATTACTAATTTGGCCAAATATTTTATTATTAAATATAAATAGAATAGCTTTGTGTTTATATTATAGCAACAATGAAGTTTCACATGGTACCACCTTGGAAAAAGTTTAAAATAAAATGTGAGGTGAAAATGGCAGGTTTTAACATTGAACTAATTATAGAAATATCATGTGAGGATGTAAGAAAGAGCTAGAAGAGACTACAGAAAAAAGATTTGCTGGGATAACAAACAAACTTGAGAGTGGTTTTATTTCATTTGTACCTTATCCTGTCAACCAAAAGAATTTTTAAAAAGCCACAAACCTGCATTTAATTCAGTAATGCTGCCCCCAAACCAGCAATAAACCTGCCAGGTATTTAAATATGTCAGCTGTAGGGGCGCCTGGATGGCTCAATCGGTTAAGATCTGATTCAGGTCATGATCTCCCGATTTGTGAGTTCGAGCCCGTGTTGGGCTCCCTGCTGACATGCTGACATGCTGACAGCTAGGAGCCTGAAGTCTACTTCAGATCCTGTGTCTCCCTCTTTCTCTGCCCTTCCCTCACTCACACTCTGTCTCTCTCTCTCTCAAAAACAAACAAACATTAAAAAAAAAAGTTAAAAAAATATGTGGGCTATATATATCATACGTCATAAAACCATGTAGCATCTATTTTATATAAAGATAATTCAAGTAATTGGACAATGTAAGATCTTTTTAAAGAGACGCTTGAAAGTTACATGGCACTTAAGTTTCTTCAGCTTCTTAAGACAGACTCACTAGGAAATTAAGTTTCTGAAACTGTTTTTGAACATTCTTTACCATTTTAATGACTAATTGTAGTTAAGTTAAATTTGCATGTTATTTGCCATGTTAAATATGCATGAATATTAAATATCTAACTCTTCTAAAATTAGTCTTTCATGTTTGAAGATAATGCCACTAGATCCCATTTACAGCAGTTTTAGAGAAAACATGGCAGCGGTGAAAAGCAAACATTTTAGATTAATCCTGAAATATCCGGGAGTCCTACTATAGGATTGCTCATGAAAAAAACCAGCCACTGTGCCAATAACCACAGAGCACCCAATGTGATCATCAACTTCCTGATCTGAATGGTCAACTTCTTTCTTTCAGAGTCCAAGATGGAATCGATTTACACAATACGAAAGGCCCTAACTAAAGCACTGTGTCAGTGCTGTCAAACACACTGCTTCTGCTGAATTCAGTGAACATAATCTCCGTCCCCACCCTTTCTTCATTTAAAAAAGGAGGTCAGCAGGTGCAACAGAGTTCAATTTTATAAATACTTTCCCAGGATAATGCTCAATGAAAGGATAATAGCCTTATCTCTGATGGTATTCTGGGACACAGGCCAGTACTAAATAGATCCTGTACTAAATAGATTAAAAGAAAAAGATCTTTACAATGTGTTAGTAGTAACAATCAGAAGAAACTTTATAATGCTTCCTGCTCAAAAGGCTGATGGACAGAGAAGCCTCAATGAAGAACATTAAAATAACCCAGTAATGGCAAACATGTTACAATTGTTTTTCTTTTCATGTTTGTTAGCTAATGCATTTTCAGTGAACACTTTTAAGGTGTTTTTGGTTTTTTTTTTTTTTTTTTAAGTGAAGGTATAAACAATACTTAGCACAAGAGGTTTGGTCAGAAACTGTAAGACAAAGTTTTTCTTCTAATGCAAAAGGCAGGGAAAACCATACTTGAGTAATGAAGTCTAAAACCAAAAACAAAAGCTTATCTAAACCACACCAGAGGCAATCCATGCAATTCAGCCAGTGTTATTCAAAATGAGTGATCTTAGGATGCCAACTTGGGTATATAAACATTTATCTTGGTAAACAGTTGCTATAGTCCCCAGAATGTTTAACTACTATAATTTTTCAAGTGCCTTATAATATTCAATTATTTATTCTTTAGCTCAACATCACTTATAAGAACTCCCTTAAGAGGGATGTTTCCATCACCATGCTCCAAACACTACAGATGAAACAAAATAAGTAATACTTCCAAGGCCTTATAAGCAATCACTGACAAATTTAGAAATAAAATTCTCTACTCTTAGGCCACAATGCTTCTTCTGCGCAATTCCTAATAATCATAATCAGACAAATATTCAATAAGCTCCTGGGCAAAAAAAACATACATTCCACAGATACCTCGAAAACAACATGTTTGGGGAAAAAAAAGACATCTCCATCACCCACTCTCCAAATCTGCTCTGCCTCCTTTCATGTATTTTCCATCCTTGTTAATGGCTCTACCATCCATGAAATCCCCATGAATTTGAAATGGAAAGTCATCCTATATCTTCTTCTTTACCCATCGTCTTCATATATCCTTCAAGACACTTAAGAAACCAAGTTCTGACAACTGGATCTTTCTATGAGTTATCTATCTCAGACCTTTAAAATCTCTTATTGGTTCAAACTACTCTCCCAAAGGGTTTCTCCTCTATATGCTGCACACAGCCTTGAGAAGGGTCTTTGTAAAATGGGCATTAGTTGTATCATATTCCTGCCCTCAGAATAATTTCCAACTCCTTGGCTTCAAAGCTCTCCTAAAGCAGGCCTCTACCTAGAACTCCAGCCTCATCTTAACATAATAAACTACTTACGGGGCACCTGGGTGGCTCAGTCGGTTGAGTGTCCAACTTCGGCTCAGGTTATGATCTCACGGTCATGAGTTCAAGCCCCGCATTGGGCCCACTGCTGTCAGTATGGACCCTGCTTCTGATGCTCTGTCCCCCTCTCCCTCTCTGTCCCTCCCTCACTTGTGCTCTCTTTCTCTCAAAAATAAATCAAAAAAAAAAAACATTAAAAATATTAAAAACAAAACAAAACATAACTACCTACAATTCTTGCTGTTTAACAAGCTCTCAGGCTTTTTCACATGCTGTTCCCTCTGCATGGGCTGTCCATTCCTAACTACCATCTGAGTGTTCAGTTTGAGCAGAATTCTACAAACTACTCAAGCCTCACCTCCTCCAGTAAGCCTTCTCTGATGCACCCAAATCTACTTACTGCTTCATTCTATTATAAAACTTAGCATATTATTTTGCAATTTTTTAGCTTACATATCATCTCTACTTTTAGAAAGTGCACTCTTTTGAGAATTGGGACCTTATGTCTTCAACATATGTGGGACCCCTCTCTCCTGGTACATAGGCAGTACGTCAAGAGCCATACAACACACATCCTGATTGAAAAAAAAATATGAAATAACTATTTTTAATCTCTTATTTTGGTGTTATGTGTTATATATAATGTTTATTTGCTTTTCACTATTCACTATAAATTATACTATATAAAACAGGACTTCTCAACCCTGGTATTTTGAGCTGGGCAATTCTTGGTTGTAGGGGCTGTCCTGTGCATTGCAGGATTTTTAGCAGTATCCTTGGTCTCTATCCACAAGATTCCAGGACCCTCCCCCCACCCCGCAACCCTTCACTCAGTTGTGACAACCAAAAATGTCTCCTAACACTGCTAAGTGTGGGGAGTAGAAAGTTGGGGGGGGGGGCATGCAGTGGCAATATTACCCTTAGTTGGGAACTACTGGTCTAAAACACCAATTTGAAACAAAAATACAAAATGGGGTTGGTAATTTGGAGGCTAACTCTTGCTGTAAAATTCTGCTTGATTTGCAGGGCACCTGGGTGGCTCAGCCAGTTAAGTGTCCAACTCGTGGTTTGGGGCTCAGATCATGATCTCATGGTTGCTGAGGTT